ACATTGTTGTATTTTTCCCTTCTAGGATTACAATTTTACTCTTTTAGTATTTTTTTTGATGATTTGCTAGCACTTACCATAATCACAAAAGAAACTCTTGCTCTTCTACATAGACCTACCCCTTTTAGTTACATGAAACAATAAAATATCATTTTTGTTTAAGCCAGCTTTAAATGCTTGTCCAATGCAAAAATCTTAGTTGAAAGTGTGATTTTTCCGTCCATGATGTCAAGGTATCAAATGCAGACATGATATACAGAGAAATGAGATTGCCCTTCATACATCTCTTTTTATTAGGGAAAAAACATTTATGAAATCCCCAATTCAGAAACCAGGATTGTATCATATGCCCATGCCTAAAATTATTCTAACACGTGGAATGGGATGAAAATGGATTAGACAGTAATGATTTCTATTCATCTCTGAATTTGGAGAGAGGGTCTTCTCTGGCTAAATGACTATTGTAGATGAACATAAAACCTTGGGACTCTCTCAACAATAAAAATAAAATGAAAGGGTAGATTATATAATGGAGTGAGTATATAATGACCAATTCATCTTTTGTAAAGGTGTGTCTGTGTGTGTGTGTGTGTGTGTGTGTACACGTGTGTATGTAGAAAATATCAGCAAGGATACATGTCAGGGACCCTGTGGGAAGGACTGAATGATGGATATTTTCACTATAAATAATAAAATAATAATAAAGTATAATATTAGTAGTAGTAGATGATAAAATTTACTATTTTATACTATTTTGGTCATTTAAATGAAATAAACATTTAGACTGTGTTGCTCAGAAATGAAACTAGGATTTAAAAAAAATGGGAAAAAACATATGTTGATAGACCCCGTTCCTATCCTTGACCCCAGTAAGTCACTCAGGTGACATGGCAGGTTTATGTCCACTGGGGATTTGGAAATACTAAGTTATCAGAGCCTAATGCCATCAAATATTAAACCATCTCCTCACACTATACCTTTACATCATAAGTTGGCTCCCTGTGCACACTCTCCTACAGTGAAGAATTTGCTGGACATGACAGGTGCATATTCTAGCCTCTTGGGCAATTACATTTCTCACTATGTATTGATACATTTGGTTCTTTGCCTTAGATGTCAGGATAGGAGCTGAGTTAGTATGATCTACTTTCCAACACCCTCTTGCCCCCAGGATATGGGCTCTTCCTAGTGCCATTAAAGTCAGGTTTATGAGCCTAGACCATGATAAATTTGTGAAGGTAAATGTCAGCTTGTTCTGATGACACTCCTATATTTTCATGCACATTTCCTACCAGCTCCTGTGCTTTCTAACCACAGTCATCTCAGCCAGCTGCCTTTGCCTTTATCCCCCATTCTGTCTTTTCCTTTGTATCTGTCTAATTCTATCTCTACCTCACTGCCTAGCCTTTTTATTGCTATTTTCATCTAAATTAAATGTGCTAGAACTATGTGGCAAGTACTGTGCTGATCATCTATACACAAGTTATATTCTGACCTCACAATAACAATGAAAAGTATTATCATTCCTGATTTACAAAGAAATAGAAATTCATAAAGACTATGTAACTGTGTTTGATAATTTAACAATTTTATCTGCTTAGTTTTCAAGTCAAGAAAGAAAATGTTTTCTATTTCCTTTTTCTTAGAAACATACAACTTAAATATTTGTCAATAACCTCCACCTCACTTCTGCCTATGAGTGTATTGTCCTAGAAAATAATACACATTTAGTATACTTCTTTGTTTCCTGGGATGAGGAGGGAAAGATGGAATGGAAAAGGAAAGAGAAAAATTGGAGATGTCCTTTGAGAGTAGGACTCCTTGTTGCTCTTTGCTCCCTCCTTGTTCTATTTCCCAAGAATAAGACGTGGCCATGATTTCTTGAGAAAAATCTTAGTTTTATTCATGGAAAAATAACCTGTCTATCCAGTTCAAATGTACTTTCTGCATCCATACCAAATGAAGAGATAAGTTTTTCAGCACTAGGTTTGTAACCCTTATGAAGATGAAGATTGCAGTAAAGTTACATCTGCTCCTGGAAAAAATTCCTCTCATTATTTGGATGGTGATTAAGCTGCTGTGTTTCCAAGGATATTCTTCCCATCATTCTGGAGACAGAGAGGTGCAAGTAGAGAGAAGCACCCCTTTCATCCTATCTCAGATGGGATCATGGAGGAGTAGAAGAAAACACAGGAGTTTCCAGATGGGTTCTAGGCCCCTCCCCTGTTACTTCAGGTAGCGAGGACACTTTTTTCCTGGAGACTCAAGTCACTAGAACTTGGTTATAGGTCTGAGGAGTAGGCAGAGAGCCTTAGTCCAAGGATCAGAGACAGGAAACAGAGAGTCCGGTAAGTGAAGATTTGAGACGCTGGTGAATTCAGAACCATGGACAGAAGCAATACCGACGCAGGTTGGCAGACTGTTTAGCACCGCAGCCAGAGCCTAATCCTAACCCTAACCCTGCTTCATGCCCGCCCAGCTCCTACTTCCGGAGTGCTGGCTATTCCAGGGAGGAATCTAGCTTGGCCCGTGGCTGACTGAATCCCAGCTTTCAAAAGCCACAATAAACTATGATTTAATTTCCTTTTAAGGTCTTCCTGAATCTCTTCACTGAGGTGTGCATTCCACAGCCTCGTGATAAAGTGGATTCCACCTTGAAGTGACTCATTAAGATATGGCTGATTTGCATATATCCATATACATTGAGCTATTCTACTCTGGTATTATTGTAAATGAATTGTTTGGAGGTAAAAAGAGTTTTATTTCATTAATTTCCCCATTCCTTGGGAAATTTGGCAATTTCCATAAATTCTCTGTAGGTGATTTTATGGAGGGTGGGAATCAGACTCCTGTCAGCTGGGAGTTGGTTGGAGGATCCTGTATTTTTTTCTCCAGATAATTTATCCCACCTGGCTCTGGAGAGATCCTTGCACACACTCATCGGGCGTGTGTATTTTATTTTAGCACATGGGGTCAGAAACTCTACTCTGAAGTCCCTGGAGCAAGGTAAGAAGACATGACTGGTGCCTTAGAAACTGCAAACAGGATAGGACTGGGTTTTGAAGAGAGTGTTGAAGAATGGTGGAGAGAGGTCTCATTGTAAAATGAAAGGAGTCCTAGGTCTCTAAGCAGCTTCTAAAAATACCATCTCCCAGCGCTAGGGGAGGGGGGAAAGCAAACGTGAGGAGAATGAAAATGGGGTGGTGGAGATATAACAGCCCTTCTCCAGGTAGATTTGATTTCAGAGGCCCCGCCTGCCAGAGGCAAGATGCCACACCTCCTTTTGCTTCTTTAGTGAGTTTCTTGGGGTGTCTGAACCCCAATGACTCCTGATGATCTCTCCCTTTATTGACAGGAAACCTAATTCCTCTGTCACACTTACTAATACTCCTGTCAAGCAAGTATGTGAGCAAGCAAGTGTGCATGTACACACATACACACACGCACACACATGGGGGTGGGGTGGAGAATGCACATGAAAACTGTTTGTAATTGACCAGTGCTCTACAATACAATGCCAGGAATTCTAGTGTATGGACTGTGGCAGAGACTGTGTCATTTACACAGATATAGCACAGAGGATGACAGTATGTACTGATTGGAGGGGTGAGGAAAACACACATACAAAACACATGCACACTCAGGCCACCATACTCACGCTCATTCTCAAACCACCTCCAGTGACTATACCCTCCAACAGGAGAGTGTTTGGGTCCCCCAAGAAAAGAGCTCTGAAAATCCACAAGGTAGGAGGAGCTTTCACACTCAAGTTCAGCCCAGATGGTGGCGCTCAATAGCCACCTCCTTCGTCTGGGAGGGCCCCAACCCTTCCCACCATCAAAGACTTAAACCCTCTCAGCTAGTACATAAATGACCTTCACTAGATAGAGGTCATGTTTTGTGTCTTCTTGCGGCTTCTTCTGTGCTGACTGAACTCTTGGAGTATCGCTCTGCCTCTCTCACAGACGCCCTGGAGTCGGGGCAGCTGCTCTCCTCAACAGTTCCCTGGGGAGGATGGAGTGGGGATGATCAAAGTAGGGAACTCCAGACGCAGAGCTGACTGGGGAAAGGGATGGTTGTGGAGAGAGCTGTATTCTGTTTTCTGGCAGCAGAAAGGAAAGCAAAAAGAACCGATCATTGATGCAAAATCTACCA